TAGTCTGGTCGATGTTAACCAACGTTTCAGAGGTCATACTGCCTCCATCATCATGGCGATGAATTCATGACCTCTGAAACGTTGGTAAACATCGACCAGACTACACAGCGCAACAACCCAGAAGACAGAAATCTTCATCTTAACTCCCGTGAGAAATGTCAATCCACGTCCTTTCTATTGCGAAAACAGACCGAGCCTCCGAGTGCATGCGAAAACATGAGGCTGGTAAACAATTAAAGTAATATATGAATAAATCTGTTGCAGCGTATCTTGGTAAACTAATCGCGAAACTGCGGAAGAAAATAGCAGTACGCACGGACGAGCGGATGAGGCTGATGACGGAGATTGTGTCCGGTATCCAGGTGATCAAGATGTACGCCTGGGAGAAGCCTTTCGCAAAACTCGTCGAAATTGCTCGATTGTACGTAATTTGTAATAAAATAAGTAGACCTACAGCGAAGAAGATTTGTAATTTACTTCTGCATTATCTATCATATATCTCAAAAAAGATGTTCGGGCAAGAACTTACGACTCCTAATTTCCTTACAGTAGAAGGAAATGATATGAGAAATGATAAATTAATAACTATCGTGATATAACCAGTATGCGTTTCCAGTACCTGGATGTTGTCGGATTTAAATTCAAATGTAAGTCAAGTCACCTTTTCATTGTTAGCATATAGAATATTATTTTATCGCAATCAAATTACAATCTGACACATCTCTAAGCACACAATAATGCTTCGTATAACGCACTTAGGTGAATACTTCAGATCTAAACACAAATTTAAAAAATTTACCTGTTATGATACATTAGACATTAATATAAAACAGTAGGCTTGATACAGACGGCAAGCTGTTAGATTTCGGGTTCTCACAGCAGCGGGTATGAAGATTTCTGCCTTCTGAGTTGTTGCGCCGTGTAGTCTGGTAGAATTTTATCGATGTTTGATGCCTCCATCATCTGGGAGGATCGCGATAGCCGTGATGGTTGAGGAACCAAGCACCTCTAAAATGTGAGTAAACTTCTACCAGACTACAAGGCGCTACAACTCAGAAGGCAGCCATCTTCATGCTGTTACTCGTATTGAGAAAAAAAACTGCCTCAGCTAAAATTAGCGTTTTTCAATATTTTCACCACACAGTAAATCTGGGTATTATATTAAGATGGGAGAAGATCGTTAGCATGCGAATATGACGTGGAAGGAAATGACTCAGTATTGCGTAAAATTGAGCAATTTGTTACCAGCGGTGCTCAACCAACCGGTTCTGCTACCAGAATCAAAAAACAACTGCAGGCATGGCGACGGTTCGAAAGTTTAATGTTTTACCTAGCAAATTTAATGCATTCGAAAGCTGTACTAGCAGAATATCTGTACACAGGAATACATCACTAAATGTATAATTACCAGAACTCGTATTCTTTTTGTATCAAGCTAACGCAGCTGTAGGACTACTAAATAGACGAGGAATTTTAAGGGAAGTAGGCTTACGTTTCATAAATTCTTCCCAGAACTTCCTTTTATATTATTTAGTTAAACCGTCGACCAAAAGATATTTAATCCGTAGTTCAAGAGTCTTGTGTAGCAAATTAACCTGGTATTAGATCAAAATTATAACACGTTTCATTGAATGTATTTTGTTATAATTACGTAGTTTCTGTTTTTTCAGGAATGAAATTAGTAAAGTAACGTATTCCTCTTATTTACGAGGCTTCTATCTGGCTTCTATCGTGTACCTAGAACGATCCACGCTCTTCGCAACACTTCTTACTTACGTGTTACTGGGTTACGATATTACTCCAGAGAAGGCAAGTACAGAAATGTGAAGTATACATTACGCAACGAGAAAGCATGCCACCTCCCGCCACATACTTCAGATTCCCAAAACTTAAATAATCACAACTTAATTATAATATTTATTTTAAGTCGCCAGCAACATAAATCTTCACACAGCGCTGTTTTCGCTGACATTTCAGGTGTTTACTCTGGCACAGTTCTACAACAACCTCAACCAAACAATGGCCATATATTTCCCAGCAGCAGTAGAGTACAAAGCAGAATCCTCAGTTTCCATCAGACGTCTGGAGGTAAATGATATAATTATTTATATAACTTCCACAGAATACCATAATTTAATAATACAACATATCCATAGCACATGAAAACAGAAAAATCATTACTGACATAACAATATAAACAGACGATTAAGAGCAAGTGGTTTGAAGATTTCTGTCTTCCGGGTTGTTGCGCCGTGTAGTATGGTAGATGTTTACCGACGTTTCAGAGGTCATACTGTCATAGTATCGTCTCATCCAGTCCAAATAATCTCTTCCCTTGTAAAAGAGTGTGAGTTGAGAGTCTCATCTCCTTCATAAAATTGTACATTGACATGTTTAATTACTAACAAATTGTGTCCTTTAAGATCATCACATTTGCCTTTGTACTTTACTTATCTCCACAGGACCTATTGCTGGAAGAAGAAGCTGAATGCACAACAACCAACAACAATAATAAATCAGAGACATCAAACGAGATAAACAATGCGAAACCTAATGGAATTTCTGACAGTGGAGTGGCGGTTGTGAACGCAAGCGCCAAGTGGAGAGCTGACCTCGTGAGAGACAGCTTGAGTAACATCACATTCCGCGTCCCTGAGGGGAAGCTGTGTGCTGTCATCGGACCCGTCGGCTCGGGGAAGGTGAAGATAAAATTTCCGTTTGTTAACAATTATCAGTCCCACATCGGACTGTCTGTGTGCAGGCTCGTAGACAGAACTGTGAGCGGCATCTTAAAATTATCACTGTTCCTAAATATATATAATAATCCAACCATCTTCCTGCTAGCATAAGCTGAAGATTAAACACCGTTAGCCCTTTGAACATGGTCCTGTTTCAAATGCAATCAAAATCTTCCCCCCCCCCTTATAAGATCCGTATGAATATCATTCTTTTCAATCTTCGAAGTGGCCTCCACCAAAATTATGTAAGCATTTCCTGTTTCCCTGCATCCACACGAAATGACCAGTTCACTGTAATCACCTGTCCTATCACTGCTACTAGAGCAGCTGTACACGGCCGTTTAGACACGTTTCGTGTGAAGACGAATTACTGGGGCCAGCCACTGTCTTTGCATTAAACCGGCTTGAACAAGGCTTAGGATTCATATAAAGTCGTGCAGTCCCCATTTACTTAACCTCACGGGGGTCCAAATACTTTCACCAGAACTTTAATTTGTAATTAAGCGTCACCGCACGAAAAAGGCAGACTGACGGACCGGAGGAAAACGAATATACTATATCACGACAGCTGATCATTCGGTGAAATGGTTACGAAAAACTAAGCGATACGACCGAAGACTGTTGGTGCTTGTAGCTCCGTAGAAGCTTCCACAGATGAACCTCATGAAAGAAATCTTTCTGACGTATTCCAGAGTTCCCTTCTGCAAGCTTTAGTGAGGGAGTTGCCAGTATACAGCGGGTCAGTCTCCATCAGCGGGACCATTTCTTACGCGTCGCAGGAACCCTGGTTGTTTGTGGGGACCGTCAGACAGAACATCCTGTTTGGACAGCCCTTCATAGCAGAAAAGTACAAGGAGGTTATCCGGGTCTGCGCCTTGCAAAAGGACTTCGAAATGTTCCGTCATGGAGATAGAACTCTCGTTGGAGAAAAGGGCATATCTCTCAGTGGAGGTCAGAGAGCGAGGATCAACCTCGCCAGGTAGGAGATAATTTTGTACCTGAACAATAACTGTATCCCCAAGCCTTGTATCGAAACACGTATACAGATTGTTCGGTGACTGAATTTCTTATCCCTGAGGTAATTCCCAGTCATAAATACCACATAAACATAGTTCAGATTCACAGCGGATACGGAGCTACGGATATTTAAAATTCAAAATAATCATTCCGGTTACCGCAGTGGACAATTCTGCAAACCGCCACAGCCAATTCATCGGCCACAGGACTGTTCATTCAGCTACTGGGTCACGTGGCGACTAGGATTTAGGGCGACCCACAGAACATCTGTAGTCCTGATTTGTGCACAGACTGTCTTTCATTTTTATCCGTAACTGTTGAAAATCTGACCTGTGCCCATGTGACATTTCTGAATGGGAAATGACGTCAGGAACAAGATCCTGTAGTACTGACATTCAGCCACTGGACACTGCATTACAGCCTAAGTAATGTTCAAGAAATTTCAATCCTGATCCAGTCCACACCGCAGCTAATGTCTGACATGTTCTGTCGTGGCTTCAGGGCCGTGTACCGGAACACAGACGTGTATCTCTTCGACGATCCATTGTCCGCAGTGGACACTCACGTTGGGAAACATTTGTTCCAAGAATGCATCCAGACATACCTGAGAAACAAGACCAGGATACTCGTCACCCATCAGCTGCAATACATCAAAGATGCAGACCTAGTCATCATTCTCAACAACGTGAGTCAGGAAAGATCATGTATTACGTAAGATTTGAGGTTTTCACATCGGTGAGTATGAAGATTTCTGTCTTCGGTTGTTGCGCCGTGTAGTCTGGTAGATGTTTACCAACGTTTCAGAGGTCATACTGCCTCCGTCGTCAGAGTATGAAGATTTCTGTCTTCGGTTGTTGCGCCGTGTAGTCTGGTAGATGTTTACCAACGTTTCAGAGGTCATACTGCCTCCGTCGTCAGAGTATGAAGATTTCTGTCTTCGGTTGTTGCGCCGTGTAGTCTGGTAGATGTTTACCAACGTTTCAGAGGTCATACTGCCTCCGTCGTCAGAGTATGAAGATTTCTGTCTTCGGTTGTTGCGCCGTGTAGTCTGGTAGATGTTTACCAACGTTTCAGAGGTCATACTGCCTCCGTCGTCAGAGTATGAAGATTTCTGTCTTCGGTTGTTGCGCCGTGTAGTCTGGTAGATGTTTACCAACGTTTCAGAGGTCATACTGCCTCCGTCGTCAGAGTATGAAGATTTCTGTCTTCGGTTGTTGCGCCGTGTAGTCTGGTAGATGTTTACCAACGTTTCAGAGGTCATACTGCCTCCGTCGTCAGAGTATGAAGATTTCTGTCTTCGGTTGTTGCGCCGTGTAGTCTGGTAGATGTTTACCAACGTTTCAGAGGTCATACTGCCTCCGTCGTCAGAGTATGAAGATTTCTGTCTTCGGTTGTTGCGCCGTGTAGTCTGGTAGATGTTTACCAACGTTTCAGAGGTCATACTGCCTCCGTCGTCAGAGTATGAAGATTTCTGTCTTCGGTTGTTGCGCCGTGTAGTCTGGTAGATGTTTACCAACGTTTCAGAGGTCATACTGCCTCCGTCGTCAGAGTATGAAGATTTCTGTCTTCGGTTGTTGCGCCGTGTAGTCTGGTAGATGTTTACCAACGTTTCAGAGGTCATACTGCCTCCGTCGTCAGAGTATGAAGATTTCTGTCTTCGGTTGTTGCGCCGTGTAGTCTGGTAGATGTTTACCAACGTTTCAGAGGTCATACTGCCTCCGTCGTCAGAGTATGAAGATTTCTGTCTTCGGTTGTTGCGCCGTGTAGTCTGGTAGATGTTTACCAACGTTTCAGAGGTCATACTGCCTCCGTCGTCAGAGTATGAAGATTTCTGTCTTCGGTTGTTGCGCCGTGTAGTCTGGTAGATGTTTACCAACGTTTCAGAGGTCATACTGCCTCCGTCGTCAGAGTATGAAGATTTCTGTCTTCGGTTGTTGCGCCGTGTAGTCTGGTAGATGTTTACCAACGTTTCAGAGGTCATACTGCCTCCGTCGTCAGAGTATGAAGATTTCTGTCTTCGGTTGTTGCGCCGTGTAGTCTGGTAGATGTTTACCAACGTTTCAGAGGTCATACTGCCTCCGTCGTCAGAGTATGAAGATTTCTGTCTTCGGTTGTTGCGCCGTGTAGTCTGGTAGATGTTTACCAACGTTTCAGAGGTCATACTGCCTCCGTCGTCAGAGTATGAAGATTTCTGTCTTCGGTTGTTGCGCCGTGTAGTCTGGTAGATGTTTACCAACGTTTCAGAGGTCATGAATTCATCGCCCTGATGACGGAGGCAGATATCTTCATGTATATTACATTTGTAATTAAGCCCAAAACTTTCGAAATGGATCCTGATATACTAGGTACTCACGTCGCCGGTCTAATGTGATATTCCGGGTTGTGACGTCGTAGAGCCTTGTAGCGTTTCAGAGAAACGACGCCAAAGAAGCGCGCAAGAAAGCATGACACTAAAACCCAGAAGGCCACTATCGACATCAAAAACATTTTTTTCTGCAGCTAGTATTTGATGTATTATGTTACGTCAAATATTCAAAATATCTCATTGAAACTTATTTTGGGAGTGGGGTTGTATAAGTCCATTGCTTGGTTACCAACTGACATACTTTTCCATCCTTTCGTTTTCCAAACGATGTTACTATCATCCTTCATTAATCCTACTAGTACAGGCCTATATGTTGTCGCATTACTGGTAAGAAATTGACTGAGAAATCGTATAAAGGACCCCGCGTTCTTTATAGGTTCTAATTTACTTTAAAATATTTTTAGGGAGAAATTGAAAACCAAGGAACATTCGCTCAGATGCAGAGTAGTGGTCTAAATTTTGCCAAACTGTTGGCCAAAGAAGAGAATGACAACGACAAGGAAGAACCAGCACAAGTCCTTATCACGAAACGTCTAATTTCAGACATGTCCAGCACGGTGAGTCTGATCGACTGAATGATCATCTTTATACTTTGCATTACCACTTGCCACTTCATTTTTTATGTATAACATGTCTAATTATTTCTAAAACATGCATATCCCATGTAATATGAGGTTCTCCAAATCATGCAGATGGAGACAGTATGTCTCTCCGAAACTTTAATATCTACCCACGAAACGAGGCGCCCACTCAGAGGGTCTGTGACGTAGCGCACGTGGGTTAGATTCTGAAGTGTGAGAAAATTTTTTTCGAAGTAATTCCGTAATAACGTGCATTGTGTTGCGAGCTCAATCGCGAAAAGCAAATCCGTAAATATGGAAATAAATAATCAACTGCTGTAACATTACTGAAAACATTCATTACTGACACGGAAAAAGGTAAAATTTTAGCTTGTGATTTAAAACTGATGCTACAGATACGTGCAAACCGAAACACAAAGATCCCCCTTGTCATAATTTTACTAAGTGGGATAATGTTTGCATTAAAAAAGCAAAGTAAATATAGCACCCAGTATTCCTTTCATTAATTTTAATTCATGTCACAGTTTTCTATAACTAATTTATAGAGATACACAACCAGAGCTCAAGTAACGTTTACGGGTCCACGTATTTTGACATGTGACGACTCCCTTAAATTTATTTTGCTTGAATATCAAAACTATCGAACACAATTCGATATTGAACGGGATCGCGAAAAAAATAAAATTTAAAATAAATTCGACGGAAACAAGAGCTGCAAAGTAAGTCACTAAGAAACACCTACATAACAAACCAAAAATAGGAAACAAATAAAAAATATAGGAAATATTTCTTCCTTGAAAGAAATGCCTTATGAAAGTGCCATGTTTATTTATTTGTGTGTTTGTCCTTTAATTTTCTTCGTGATTTCAGGAAATGTCGGTCTGAGACAGGCTAAGCACCTGTAGACTCAATGTAACAGCCATGAACAATTTATGAATACCGAACAGTCTATACCAAACTGTGTCTGAGTTCCAGGATGAGAATGAGTCACACCGGAGGTCAGTTCGAAGACGAAGTACCAGGCGCCGACCATCTACGAGAGGGGATTCTGTAAGCGGATCCTTCAGAAAAGACGGTAGCCTCCGAAATTCCTTTACTTCTGACGATTACCAAGCCACGTTGAAAAGAACGATGATCAAGAGGCATATGCGACAACCGTCCTTAATGTCCACCGCCTCCAACGTGAGTAGACCTGGAAGATCCATATTTTAGCCTAGTATTTCGTTGTTTATATCCATTGCAAACGTCAGGACCCACTGATCATTCCGCGAATAGAATCTCTTTGTTCGTTCTCTCATACAAAATATTGGTTGGAAATCCCGAAAGGAGGAGACCACTCGGAAGACCTAGACGTAGATGGAAGAATAATTTTAAAAGGGATCTTTTGGAAATGGGGTTTGAGGGTGTGGACTGGATTCATCTGACTCAGGAGAAGACCGGTGGCGGGCTCTTGTAAACATGGTAATAAACCTTTGGTTTCATAGAAGGCAGGAACTTTTCCTTTTACTCTGACAGTACAATAGTTAAATGTTTGTAATTCTAACGTGTGGTTTAATTGAGATTAATGTGTAACTAAAACAATATATTTGTGTAGTTTTTGTATCATTTGTTGTCATGAATACTACTTTTGAGGATACCTAAATTCTACAAACATGGTTATATTTCAGAATAATTAGAGTAGAATGAAAACAAATGATAGTTGTAAGAAATTACATGAATATAATTCTCTGTCTAGAACAGTTCATTTCTAGCAATGCCCGAAGTTGTATTTGAGATTAATGCAAATGCAAAACAACTGTTTTGGGCTGTAACTTAGCTTTGAATCTGTTCTTACTTGGTTCGTTCTGCACATAATTAATGCGGAATACTTTACTGAAATAATCCTAAACCCCGTTATCGTCTGTGTTTGACACATAATGAACCGCTTTATATGTTGATTGTTCAGGAATATTTCATAACTATGTCTAACACAAAACTTCATTTTCAGCTATGCTATACTGGAGCTTCTAACCTCAATGCTCTATGTCTATGATGGTACTTCTTAATGCAGAGTGCATTTGTGGCTGTTTTATACTAACTTTAACGTTAACAAAAGCAAATATAAAACTATCGTAACAAACAGCTTTAAGTTAAACATAATCATAACAATAAATTATTCCTGCCAATTAAAATTTGATAGTGGTATGATTTACTTTTGGATTTAAGGATAACACTTTTTGAAGATGATTTCTTACTTATTTAAGAGGTCTGACACTTTCTTGGACGAGTAGCTGAAGGCCAAAAGATAGGACAATACTGCACCTAATACATGCAAAATTTAGAAACAAAAATAAAATGAATATTTAACTGTGTAAGATTTGAGGTTTTCACAGCGGTGAGTATGAAGATTTCCGTCTTCTGGGTTGTTGCGCTGTGTAGTCTGGTCGATGTTTACCAACGTTTCAGAGGTCATACTGCCTCCGTCATCAGGGCGATGAGTATGAAGATTTCTATCTTCTGGGTTCTTGCGCTGTGTAGTCTGGTAGATGTTTACCAACGTTTCTGAGGTCATACTGCCTCCGTCATCAGGGCGATTCATCGCATTCTTTGGGCGGATGTAGTCAATCGGGGGTGATATTATCAATGAAAACTGAAGTTACTATCACAGATTTAACCTTTTAAATACTTACATCGGTGTACGTTTGTCGGAAAAAAATGTTTTTAATATTACTTTTAAAGTATCAGTGAGAAGAAACTTTCCTTGTTATATCTCGGAATTTCATGCGATACCTACATATCGCGAGTAACAACGAGAATACTTCTTCGTTTACCTTTAAACTGAAAACCTTGGCATGGAAAGGGTTCGAGAATCAACTTATATCGCAAAGACTTTAAGCACTTAGTAGGATTTCAGATTTTCTTGGTGGCGAGCATGAAGATGGCTGTCTTCTGGATTGTAGTGTCATGTAGTCTGGTAGACGTTTACGGGTGTTAACCGCCCTGAAGGTGGAGGCAGCAAGCACCTCTGAAACGTTGGTCTACCAGACTACACGGCGCAACAACCCAGAAGACAGAAATCTTCATACTCATCGCCCTGATGATGGAGGCAGCAAGCACCTCTAAAACGTTGGTCTACCGGACTGTACAGCGCAACAACCCAGAAGACAGAAATCTTTACTGTATGCACTTCTTTCAGAAGAAAAAAAGAGGGCCAAACAATAAATCTGAGGGCGCTTCTAAGCCGCCAACTGGAGCTAACATATTATGGAGGGGCACTAGAAGGATGCGTGGTGCGCTGAAAAACATTCTGCGCAACAGGTCCTTTCTGCAGTGCTGTCCCATCGCAATCTACCGCGATCGCCCGCGTACAAACAGCCAGGAAACCGTTAGCAACATCAGCGAACGCCAGAGTTCAGACGACGTGAGTCGTGAATACAAGTAAAAAAAAAAAATCCACGCACAAAGGGGGGGGGGGGGGGGGGGGGGGGGGGGGGAACACCTCACTGCACTTTGTACGCACCAGCTATTGCTTGAATTGGTATCAGCGCATATGACTTGAAACTCAAACTGAATCGTGTTGCTTACCAAAACATATAAATTGTACCTGAAAATAAAGCTGTGATCGTCCATTTTACCCAATTTCTTATTTTATATTTAAAAATGGGCATATGGTATCATTAATGACCGCGTGCAACTTTTAAATTTCCGGGAGAAGTTTTGGGGTGGGAATGACACTAGCGACACTACAAACGTACTAGACTAAAATTCTGAAATGTATCAAAATATTTAAGGATATTCGACCTTTGTCTAAGATTTTTTTAAGAATGTCAAACAACAGTTTGGCAGCCATTTGACATGTATATTTAATTTTCGTTTCGGTTGCGACAATTAATAAAGCAAAAGATCTAGATATGTTATGTTCTGAACGGAGAAAGAACATACACGTATGTACAAATTCCATATGAATTTGTTTACACATTAACAATTACAAACATGGCGTATACGTAAAATTTTTATTATACATCAGGCAAATTTAACTTATAGGATTTGAGACTTTCACGGCGAGTACAATCAATAAAATCTTCTCGAGCAATCAGCCGCGTCAACTGCTTACCGTAGCAAACCGACGTTTCGGGAACTAACTCTGTCCCCATCATCAGGGTTCTGATGTGACTGGATACCTGGCCTGTGTAACTTACACAGACGACTTCCGAGGTATCCAGTCACATCGGAACCCTGATGATGGGGACAGAATTGGTTCCCGAAACATCGGTTTACTACGGTAAGCAGTTGACGCGGCTGATTGCCCGAGAAGATGTTATTAAATTCAACTTAGTAGGAATCGATGTTTTTCAAAATAATATATAGAAACAGACCATTAAATTGATTAATTATAGATGTATAGCTTGAAGATACTGTCGGTAAGTAACTGCAACAAAGTGTTTCCAGAATTTCTTGCGTATGTAATATTTTGATTCAAAGAACCATTATTTTGATACGCCTCTGGTATTGAACTTCTGAAAAAGATGGTAGCAAAATATTGCACTGTACGAGGACTTACAGCTTTTAACATCTGAAGCCTGGTTGTGGTAGAACTAACTGTGCCTTGCTGCAATTTTTTGTGTTTCTGTGTTATAATCAGTGTGTGTTTTGCAAGGTGTGTGTCGGGATGTAAATCGGGGTTTAAATTTGAGAATTTTATCCAATTCCTTCACCTGTGGAATGTTGTTTCACCATTTTTGTATCACCTAATTCTGCATGTACACCCTGTACGTCCATGAGCAGCACGCACCATATTATGTATGCCTGATAATGATTAACGACGCAATGTCTTTAATTTCCATGTTCTTTCTTTACGTTCATAATATTTGTGAATGTGTTTCTTCTTCGCCCTCGTTCTGGTAACGTAACTGCTGAAAATATGTTTTCTTTGTATCACCTGATTTTACACAACTTTGATAAGAAAAATAGAACGGTAGGATACAGGTTATTATTTTGTCTCTTTACTTACAGCAATCAAATTTGTTAGTGCACTTTCTGCTGCAAACAAATTCCGCTGTTGGCACAATGTTTCTGAGAGCGTATTTTAGAAACTAACTTGAAATATTTTGAGCGTGTGTGTGACCGAAGTGAATTATAACTTCCATTGTACGAAGAAGCAATACTTTAATAAGTAATGTATCTATGTACCAGAGTTGGTTCGGGGACGACATGGACGAATGTGACGAGGAGAACCAAGAATCAAGAAACATCGGGACCATCAGCTACAGAACGTACTGGCAGTACTTCAGCGCTGGTGGCAGTGTTTGCTTCTTCCTCGCGACGGCTTTCATGCTCATACTAGCGCAAGTGATAACTAGCGGCGCTGACTACTGGGTAACATTTTGGTGAGTTCACGTTCTTTCAAAACAGTACTATCCGCTCTTTAATTTTGTTTTCAATTTTATCACTACAAAATTACTGTCGAAACCCGTAAGAGCAGAAATGATTTCAAAATGGATCTTAAAGAAACAGAGTGTCTGAATGTCAAGAATAAAACAGGTCCAATTAACGAGATCTTGTCAACATGGTAATGAGCCAGCGGATACCCCAGAAGTCGGGGAAGCCAGAAACCGGCTATCCTTGGTCTTACCCCTCATTGATTCTCGGGAATAAGAGAGTCTTAAAACAATCCACGACAATTTCCATCCACAACCTTCCCAGTTCGCCATTCAAAATCAACAGACGCAACAGATATAATCAATGCAATAAAAAACGTCGTTAAACAGCCCACAAAGCAATCAAATGATGTGATGGGTAGAATTTTAAAAATTAACTCAACAGATTTCTACCACATTCGTTCCTAATTCATCACTGATAATCTACAGCTGACAAAGCGACATTAGATTTCACCAAGAAACAACATCTCACGGACCGAATCAGGCCGTTCGTTCAGAACTTAATATTCAGGACGTAACGCAATTCTCTTTACAGGACAAACGAAGAAGTGGTAAGGCAGGCGCATTTGGATTCGCTGAAGGAAAGGTTGGCAGCAAACGAAAGCCACAGACCACTGCCTCCCCTTGTTGAGGACTACACCAAAGTAAATAAGCGCGACTCGCTCATAATATACGGATGCCTTATCATCGCAGCCATGTTCATCACATTAATACGCTCAATTATGTTCATCAAGACTTGCATGAAAGCATCGACCAGGCTTCACAACGCCATGTTCTCATCGATACTTCGGGGCGCGATGCGCTTCTTCGACACCAACCCTTCCGGAAGGATCCTCAACAGATTCTCAAAAGACATCGGAGCTATCGATGAACTTTTGCCACGCTTCATGCTAGAGTCGATTCAGGTAAATTCAGGTGTGCGTATGTACCGCAAAACAGAATAGCTTTTAAAACCATCAGATTAAAAAAATATATACAGTTCATACTTAAACAAATCCGATAATGTATGCATAGCGTAACAATTCTGCTAGAATTCTACATTAGACCTTCTCGAATAGCGACACTGACGTCAGAGTTGCGTGATTTCTCAAGAACGCTGGTAACTTACCTACAAGGTTACAAGACGTCACAACGCAAAACAAAACAATTTTTACTACACTGTCATGTCCAACGCCCCCCTCGATCAACATTCATGTGACAGGACACTGTTATTATGAGTAGGTTTATGCCGTTTATTCACACAAGTGTGGTAATTTTTCAAACAGGTCTTCCTCGTCCTGATTGGTATACTGACCAATATCGCCATAGTCAACACTTATTTCATATTACCAATGGTTGTCCTCGGCTTCTGCTACTACGGAGTTACAATTGTGTACCTCAGAACTTCAAGAAATGTCAAAAGACTGGAAGGAACAAGTAAGCAGACAGATTTTTGTCCTAACTTCAATTTTATGAACTGGAGGGTTTCTTAAGAAGCCAATGGTCACTCAACTATTCAAGAAATTCCACGAATATAGAACCCGGAGGCTCGTTTCTGTGTTCACCACCGCCCGCCAATAATCCCATCTTGATCCAAATGAATTCAGTACAAAACCTCCCACTCAATTATTTTAATATTCATTTCGATGTTATCCTCTCATTCTCGGCCATGTCTTCCAAGTATCCTCTTCACTCCAGACTTTCCGACGCATTTCTGATCTCCCCATGTCATCCTAATTGATTTCACCACCCTAAGAATATTTGAAACGTCTTGATGAGTTTCGTGTGTCTTATGATTTGTTATTGCAGCTCGCAGTCCTGTGTACTCTCACCTGTCAGATACGCTGACTGGCCTCACGACAATAAGAGTTTCAGGAGCACAGGAAATGGTGCGATGTGGTTTCGACTCGAGACAGGTAGACAAGACACAAGCAAATTTGAACAATAAGAGAATTGTAATACACGTCACGCGCGTTACGCCTGCTTCTTCGAATTTGCATCTAGGCCCGGTTTCACTTTCGACTTCTCTAACAAAAAGTTTCAACATTTTTCATCGAATTAGGTTTTGAGTTTTTCACGGCTGTGAGTCCTCTGGGTTTTAGCGCCGTGTAGTCTGACAGACGTTCACTGACGTTTCAGAGGTGCTTCCTGCTTCCATCACCATCGTTCTGATAACAGAGTCAGGAAGCACATCTGCAAACTTGTACCACAATACAAGGCGCGACAAAACAGAAGATAGCCATCTTCATACCTTACCCACATTAAACGCTATCTTCCACAAATTTTGGTATTACTTCATATATTTTGTAAGCCATTCTTAACGAAAACAGAACTTTAAAATATAAAACTATCACATATTTATACACCATAGTAATAGCCTTGATTCTAACGTCTGTTGCTTAATAAATTATATATATATATGGATTTCAGTTTTAAGGATGATATGTCCCCATAACGCGGGTCCTTGTTCACAGCCAAAAAATAACATAATGCTTATGCAATCCTGATTCTTGTTTTGTCCATGTCACATGACATTACAGAACTGATCATTGCTTCCTTTCTTGCAGGACGACCACACTGGTGCATGGTCCCTTTTTTTGGCCACAAGCAACGCGTTCGGTTTCTGGATGGACATTCTGAGCTCACTGTTCGTTGCCAGTATTACACTCACATTCTTCATACTTGAAGGTAATGAAGTGTAGCATTCTTAGTATTGTGGTCTGTTTGTAACGAACAGCGTTATGAAACACGCAGATTCCTAAAGTTTGGCCCCAATTTCAAAAATGTATGTTCATAGCGTTTTTGTATTTTTGCAAAATACAAAAACTAAAGCTCCTCTGTGCTTAAGCACCATGTTTCAAATGTAGTGGAGATAAAGCTCAATGCTTTCTTAACCTCGACACTAGATGGAGGCGTGTGTACACCGCGGAGAAAGTCACGAACCCATTGAATATGTGACGGTTGTGACCCAAAGGGTCTAGAATCTAGACCCTAGACTCTAGATGTCATAACGAATATTAAAATCACTAACCCAGCCGAGAATCGAATAACGGTCGTCCAACACACAGCCTATCACTAAACTGATCTACTGCAATTCAGCATAATATTTAAATTACTAATTTTACGTTTGAGATTAGCAACATTAATGAACACAAAAAACTATTCGAACTGGTCATTCAAATGTGCAGCTGGTGTTACGTTAACACAATTTCAGTGTGTTAATACTTTACTCGTATCATCAGGAATGGCACGTAAACACTCAAGCAGAAAACAGTTTATATTCCTTGTATTCAGAGATATTCAATTCAAATTTCAACAGATACGCGATAGTAATATCACGACTATTTGATCACGTATAATTCGGAAATTTATACATTAATGTTTTACATGCTACTGACAAGATCCTTGCTCTAAAACTGATTTCTTTTATTATTTAGTCAGAACCAAGCCCGTCCTATCGTCTCCCGACAATTGAAGCCATAAACATCTTGAGTGCTAAAAAATTCTTACGGCTGTGAATATTTCAATGTTAGTGGTCTAGGCTGTAACGCCTTATAAATTTACGAGCAGCAGCTCTAAAACGGGGGCAGTATGTTCCTCCGAAACATCTGTGTCCATACCTACAAATTCGCATGGCGTCACAACCCAGAAAACCAAAAACGACACGGACATCAAATACTTAAAACCGCAACCTGCCTCTGAAATGACCAAATGAAAGCATTTTAAAGAGATACTGAGCAAAGAATTTTCTCTCTCTCTCTCTCTCCCCCCCCCCCCCCCCCACTAAGATCTGCTTAAAACATAATGTCGTTTCTGTACCTATGTTGACAGAGAACATAGGCGCAAAGGTTGGACTGGCGCTGTCACAAGCACTTATAGTGACAGGAATGCTTCAATATGGTCTACTGCGAGCTACTGAGGTGGTGAGTCAGATGACATCAGTGGAAAGGGTGCTCGATTACACCAACATTGAGAAGGAAGCGGATCTGGAGTCTGCACCAGGTAAATAAAGGAATTATTAGAACTTATAACGCCGGCGCGATTCAATCATCCGTGGCCATGTCAGGAAGTCTCAATGTCTGTCGGGTTGACATTGTGCATTGCGCATTTGGAATATACATAATGTATTAGTATCTTACCATAATTTTCTTTCAAACGCTTTTCTCTACTGAATGCGAGGGATCACATGTGGAAGCCGCTGAGATTGTTGTACAGTGTAATGAGTTTCACTGTCTTCCACAGACAAGAAACCTGCGCCTACATGGCCGAGTCAAGGAGGCGTTGAATTCGATCATTTATATTTGAAATATGGAGAAGATCAGCCGTGTGTACTAAAGGACCTCCACTTTAAAATAGCTCCAAGTCATAAGGTATGTATGTTTCACCTTCAGAGCCTGTCAAAAAACGGTCAGACTGGTTCCCATATCGCTAACACATTCCTCGCAAGCGACATACTTATCGACTTGATGATCAAGGCTGCAAGCAAGTCTGAAACGTCGGTAAACTTCTACCAGACTCTCCAGCCAGGCAACCCAGAAGACAATCATTTCCTTCTTGTCGTGCACCGATGGTCTATTGGCTTAAACATACGTCAGTTTTCAAAGGTTTCCGTTTTAAATCCGGACGGTTCACATTAATACAGAAAAGAAAGCAATGAGCAGTGAACCAATCACCTGAAGACGTTGGTAAATCAAACTTCCGACACACTGAATATATTAAATGTACATCAAATAACAGGCATTTTCCAGTAAGTAATTAGGTATCTTTGTAGAAGAGTAAGGGAGGCCAAGGTCCTCAGAGCCACGAAGGAAGGAAGGGATGTAGAAGAGTCCTTCGTGAATAGCAAACAGTCGCTCAGATGATCAAGAAATTTACCGTTTTATGGAACGTAAAGTTTCATTTCGTTGTTCATAAGTGCATGCCAATGGTACACGAAGGAAATTTCTTAAGACTGTCTTACGTTTGTCTCCATATTTCAATTGTCCTGAATGACATTTCAGGTTGGAATAGTGGGACGGACAGGTGCTGGAAAATCATCATTAATATCAGCCCTCTTCCGCCTGGCCAAACTCGACGGTTCTATCAAGATAGATGGCATCAACACGAATGATATCGGTCTCCATGACCTACGGGCGAGAATCTCAATCATCCCACAAGAACCTGTTCTTTTTTCGGAGTCGCTCAGACATAATCTCGATCCTTTCGACCAGTTCAGTGACGAAGCCCTATGGAATTCTCTCGAAGAGGTAACTGTTTGTCGTGCTCCCAACACCTAAATATACTGAAGATCCCTGTACAGTTATCATAGGAAGAGCGACATTCAGTTCGATTATTTAAATCTGCAACCGTTAAACAATGAAATCTGAATTTATTTGTCGAAAGTATGGTAAGTTGTTCTGGTGCTTAACCAAGCACAACGCCATGGTAATATCTGAGGAATTCGAGGTATAGCTCCACGAATTCTTAACCTCGACACTAGATGACGTCCCTGCCGTTTTACCATCGGGATAGGAGACTGAGAGCCCCAGAGCCAGTCTGGACGATGCGACTAAGAGAACAAATCAGGACATGTACGCATAACGTAACATAATTTTTTTCCGAAACGTTCGTATCTATGTTTGTATTATTTTAGGTTGATCTGAAAGCAGCTGTGACTAGCCTGGATATGCAGGTTCAAGAAGGAGGAAGCAATTTCAGTGTCGGACAAAGACAACTGATATGCTTGGCTAGAGCAATACTTCGTAATAACAAGATATTGGTGCTGGACGAGGCTACAGCCAACGTTGACCCAGAGTAAGTAACTACTTACAAGAGTGGACAATAATCCAACCTCTGAACCTCAACCATCAACTAATACTAAGTGACCTATTCATGTTTTCCTACCGAAATTTGGTATCAATTTCTTGTCTGCGCATATCAACTTCACCCTAATAAAGTTCGGTGAAAAGTATGAATTCTTAAGCTCCTCATTACGAAGATTCCTCCATACTCTTGTTATTTCATCCCTCTTGGGTCTTAAATATTCTTACCACCCCGTTCTGAAACACTCTCAGTCTGTGATACCTCTTCAGAACATGAGACGAAGTTTCAGATCGCAGGTGACATTAGAGTTGTGTGTATTTTAATGTCCGCGTCTTAAGCTTCAAGTATGCACCAACGATTAGCAACACATTGGAATTCGTGTCCTGTTGCAGAACGGATACCTTCGTACAGGAGACGATACGAAGGAAATTCAAGAACTGCACTGTCCTGACAATCGCTCATCGACTGAACACTATCATGGACTCTGACAGGGTCCTTGTCATGGATTCTGGAACCATGGTCGTACGTATTTCTATCACGCCGGTAACAACCGAAAGTAAAACGCCGCCAATATCAAAGTCCGTACAACTGAACACTACCCGATTTACACAATCTACAGGCTGAATGTTCAATGCCTTAAAAACCTTTTTTTATGCAACCCCGGATCAATAAAAATTCCCAATAATACCAGTCAGTACAAATTGTCCCAGACCGGAATTCGAACCGAGTTCATCCCGAAAACAAGGCATGAATGCTGACCACTATACCGTGTTCATTGCTTCTAGGAATACGACCATCCGTACGCATTGCTACAGAGGAATAATGGATACTTCTTCAAACTGGTGGAAGAAACTGGTCCTACAATGGCTGACCAACTGCTGAGAGTAGCAGAAGAGGCAAGATTTTATCTTTTTATGATAATATGTTTACTGAAATAAAATCCTGGATAGTGGCCAAACGTTCACAAAATTATTCCGCAATTAAACATATTTAGACTTCGTAACCAATGGAAACATGAAGTATGTGGAAACTGCAACTCCACGATATGCATACAATAAAGAATTACGATTAAAAACTGTCGATACATATCGAATGCCCATTGCATAAGAATAGTTCGAGTTTATTCTTCCAGCATTAGTAAATTTGGTTCAATTTAATAATTTTCTTTACTAGGTAAGAATAATTTAGTGATCTGATCTAAAATGCTGTTGTTTCATCTTAACATCTGCAGGCGAGACTTAATAATATTTCTGTTTTGTTTTACAGGCTTACAAGAAAACGTATCAAATTGATGGAATACCAGAACACGAAGATATGAACACAGCTTTATAAAATAACTATTACATGAAGATGGCCATTTTTTGAAATATTGCGGAGTGTAGTCTGGTAGAAGTTTACAGATTATCAGAGGTGATGCCTCCATCAACAGAGCAACGATGGAGGCAGCAAGCATCTCTGAAACGTCGGGAAACTTCTACCAGACTACACTGCTCAACATCTTCGTACTCCCCGCCGTGAGACCCTAAATCTCAATCACTATGAAAATGTACATAGAAGTTGTAAGGTGTGCTAGATCCATTTTTCT